AACACATTACATTCAACAACAGCAGTTTTCTCTCTTCTCAAAGATCGATACAGAAAAAGATACAAAACTTTGGTTGTGTCCTAGTTTATGCAAAGTTCTTAAATTACAGCAAATTGCTCTTATATTGATATTCTTCTGGCAAGAAAATGAAAATATTTTGTCATGGAATTGTTAAGTGTCCCTAGGTGCTTTGTTTTGTTGAAACAAAAAATGGCTGCACAAGTGAACTTAGAGAGAGAGGTTTAAGATGATGGATAGACGAGGCATACTCCCTGGATGCAATGTTTTGATGTAAAGAAAACGAAAAAAAAAAATTCTGAAGAAATATGCAGAATTTTGCAGTGGGTCACAGTTAACTAACTAAGATATTAAAGATTTTTTTTTTTTTTTAAAAACTCAGAATATCTGTAAAAACAAAATGATTCTTTTTTAATCTTACCAGTTATTAAATTAACCGTCACTCAATGCACAAGAAACAAATCTCCATTAAATTTGGTATTGTAACAGTAGATGCATTTATGGTCTAATTTTTTTTTTTATTATTTATCAAGACTTCGTTTTGAAATGATTATTCGAAGGACTGATTTGTGGAATGATTGAAATTTTTTATTGTGTAAGTGCCAGAACAGAGAAAATGCTGTGAAAAATGTTGTTGGTTTTTTCTTCCCGGCAGTGGAAGGGTGAAGTTAAGACATGCTCAAACCTTTAACAATCTGACATGGTCTGTATAATGACAAAGGGTTGGTGCTGGCTTTACTGGGTATCATGCAGTTTTATATATGGTCCTATACCAAGTATGTTTTTTTTGGCATTCATTAAATGACCGTTACAAGCTCTTGTTTGATTTTATCTTATTCTTATCATTTGTGATGTAATTTAGTGTTCTGTAAAATTGCTACTAAATATAGTCACTTCCAAATAAACTTTCATTGTCTTTCATGAACAGACTTTTTTAATAGGAGTTAAAAATATTTTACTCGGCACAAAGCCCTATTATAAGATATATGTCACAAACGGCAGTAAGTTGTTGTTTGAAACCAGCTGACAGTCGTTTGGATTAGAGCCGAAGTTTATGATGTGAGAAGATTACGTTTGACGAGGAACGTCTCCGCTACAAAATTAATTTTCATAAAAAGACAGTAATTTGTCAACGGTTTGTACATTGTGCACTGGCGAGTAATCTGATTGGAGGAGATTATTGAATATAATGAGTTTAATATGATTTAGTGTGTTATGCTGATTGACAAATTGAAGCTAATTGAGCCAAAAGACACAGAAATGGGGGACAAGATGGATGCTTTTTGTTATTGTAATAAATGGAATTAAAAATTAATCTTCAAGTCTGAATGCATCTTTTAAGATCATTAAATTGCATTCTGTTGATCATTTGCCCCAATTTGTATTGGTAAAGATGCAATTTGTTTTATCATTTACCAAAAAGGGTGAATTATAAGTAAAAGCTGCACTATTTGATGATTATCCAAATTAATCAGAGAAAGTATATACACATGTTTCTTTTTTGTATGGTTTTACATCGCACCAACACAGTAAAGGTCAGTAATACGGTGACTTTTTTCTGGACAAACCATTTATCATTCTAAGGGAAAATTACAAAATAGATGTACTGACTGAATAAAAACAGTGCAGACCATGATCTGTGCGACATGGAGGTGCAGGCTGATCTTAGTCTGCACGCACTGGTCACATGGGTAGAATCGGTTGCCACCTATTAGCAAGCTTATACAGTTAAATAGTACACCACCTTAAAATTTATTTAGTTGATTGTTAGATTATAAATTGAGCAAATTTATATAAAAAAAATCTTAAAGATGGCCAAAACAGCCTTAAACATTAAGACCATTTGAATTCAGATCTAGAATATAATTTTAAAAATCCATAATATTGTATAAACCATATTGCATAAAGGAACTTTTATAAAATTTGGAGATTCGTTGTTTGCCAGACAATTTCTGACTTGAATCTAAATTTGCAATTCAAATATATGGAAAAAACAAACAAGGCAGTTTGTGAAAGATCACAAACTCAAACACACAGGGAAAATTTTTTTTCTAAAATATATTTGTTACATTGTACAATTATTTCATAAATTCAACAACATTTCTCGGAAACATGTTCGGAACAACAATTGGAAAATTTTATTGATGAAAATTAATGGAAATGTTAGTCACACTGTAAAAACAAGCCCTGGGGCCGTAATTTGTTTTATAGTTGTTGGTTGACGAGCAGTACAGCTTCGGTAACGATAAATTAGAATTGTTGTCACAACAAACGTACAAGTAATTACGATTATATTAATTACTTAAAGTAATAATGACACATGTAATGTAATGTAATGGTCGGAGAAAAAAAATTCTGAAAATTGTGATGAATTTTTTTTTTTATCACAAATAAATGGATCTTGATTAAAATTACAACTGATCAGATATTTTTATATACATGGCTCTCCGATAACATAGGGAATACCGAGGTAGTTTTAAAATTATACCTGGCATATCTAACAAATATTAATGAAAGCGGTAAAATTGTCCGATTCCTTATCAAAAATCTCATGCATTAAGTCTGTGATTGTTACAATAGTTTTCTGTTAGTCAGTAATTTCAATTGACAACTGATTTATACAAAGATATACTTTTAAAAAGAAAAAAATCCTTTCTAAAGTTGAAATAGCAATATTTTGCAATTTGTAGTTCTTAATTAAAACTATGATTGTTTCCGGATTTATTGTGACCTTAAAATATTTTTTGATTGGTCCATTTTGAATTTAATTTCTGTGAAAGGTTATATTTCTTTGCAATTCTTTTTTTGTTTCGTTTGTTTTAATTACCAGATAAATTAAGTAGCAAATTCTTTCCAATTTTACTAAAATATGCACATTATACCTAATATAACACCAGCAAAAATACATTTTTTTCCATTTATATACTACAAAAAACAGAATCCTAATTCCAGATGCGATTATAATCAAAAACTAAAAATAAACAAAATTGCCTTTTAGAGTAATTGTTTCAAGTAAATTAACTCCCATCTGTTTATATCTTGATGATGACCGAGTGACGATGAAAATATTCCCCCTCTAATGGCAGACGCTGTTAGACAGGAAGCCAGGTACTCGTACCTGAAGACGTACGGGTCACAGCACTTAAGTCACTTCCTGTCATTACAGGTGCCTCTACATTAAAACACAGACGTGAATTATAGAAACACAATCATTATCTCTGAAATTTGTAGAAAATACGCAAAAATTCAGGTTAATTGAGAAGTGATTTGGATAAAATTATCTTAGTGTGTGTTTATAGACATTTAGAGATTTTGAACGTTTTTTATTTTAGATTTTTATTATGCTCTGTGTAAACACCATAAATAGGAAAAATTGTCTGAAAATAGAACATTTCATTGATCATTAATGATATTTGAAATAAACAACAAGAATGGTGGTCCCCTACAAATTTTGATGGTAGTGCTTTTAACCTTAAACCTGATGTAATTCTTAAATGGACTTGATAAAAGACATCTAGCCAAAACCTTTGCATTATATGATTTCAGAATGTTGGTTTTTGTGCTCTTGTTTGTTTATTTTAAATGGACTTAAGAACTTTTTATCATCAATAGTTTGGAATTATGAAGTTTAAATAATAATTTAATAAGTCAGCCAACAGTATAGAGCCTGGAAGGACTGTGCAGATGTCCTGGCTGGTCTGGCTCTATACTTGTGGCAAAGGCAAAATCACTTTTGTCTCCAATCAGCTGAGAGTTAAGATAAACATGACTGTACTTTATTTGGCTTAAACGAAAACTTATGTTCCAGAGGTCTCGTTGTTGTTGTTTACATGTATTTCAGAAATGTGTTCACATTAAAACCACAAGAGGGAAATTATCATTTGTTATTTAATGTGGCATTATTATCATTTTTAGTTCCACATTTCTTGTAGCATAATTATAATAACCATACTTGTTCATAAATGAGAAAAATATTTTGCTACTTTTCTAATACTGGTTAAAATCTATTTTGATGAATTATAATAAAGTGTTCTTCTTTAAATTTTATTGCAAATTTCATTTGTTAAAGGTCGACATGCAATTTATTATCTTTAACTGATGGACTATAAATAACTTTAATTTTTTATGTGTGAGTCAGTAATTTTGAACTGTTTGTTGTTGTATTTTTGTGGAATTTTTCTGAATTATGGTGGTCCAGTTGTTTAGTGAATCACTGATTGTTTGAAATCACGAATGTCAATTACGATTTATGTCATGTGATCCTAGAAATATACTTCTCTATCTAAGGTAGATGACAACAAATTAACCATGCCTCTGTGTGCACAGAATTTGATACAGCATTCTCCTTGCGTTTTCTAACTGACCCGTGCATTTTTTTAGCAATATGATACGATGAAAGCAGCATCCGTATCTGAAACTCAACATTGTTTTGACAACGAATTCATTGTCTTTCCATATATTTTATTCAGATAGTATGGTATATGTTTTGACAATGGCAGTATGGTGAAGGGTTTTAACAATGACAGTTTTGTTTTCTTCATAAATGATAAGGTCAATCTATTATTCTAAAAGAACATCTAGTTGTGAGATCTATTGAAAATTTAAAGCACGAGTGTTTTCAGAGACCAGATGTGTTTCCATGACCCTTACCATTTTAAATGTTATTAATGAAATTGTACATCTTTCAATTTGAACAATGCAATATATCATTTTTAAAGACAATTTCAAAATATCTACTGACTTAACAGAGAACAGTGTGCAGACCTGGATCAGAAATAATGTGTTAGTTGATCTTGGTCTGCACTGGTCAAATGGGTAGATTCTGTAAATGTCAGCAGACTGGAGGACCATTATACTACAATAATTTACTCAGATACACAAAAGTGATTTAATAGGAAAAGAGCCCCAACTTCCAACACATTTACCTTTATTGAAATTATGTTTCTAGTAAACTAAACTCACCTCTGTGTTTTTACTTTCAGCTGTGCTGCCTGGCAACCGATATAATTTGGACCATGGTCTATTAGGGAGAAGTCATTTATTTGCAGACCCCTCATTTTCCGAGGGAGAAAGTATTTTACAGGTAATTTTGTGGAAACATTTATTTATAGAAATATTGGATTTGAATAAATTTTTTGGTCATGAATGTACAAGGAGTCTCTAGTACTTGATGAATAATTGTTGCAGTGTATTATTTGAATCAATTTTAGGTTTGTCTCAACTGACAGGTGTTAAATCACTTTGGAATTGAGCACCAAATAGTACTGATTCTTTTTCTGCTTGACTTACTGTACATGATAAATATCAAGTATTAGAAATTAAAGATAAACTTTACAGAAATATATGTAAGTTGATACATTGACAAATTATGGTTTGAGGTAGACCTACAGCGAGGCTCAACACCGCGTAATTAGTCGTACCACGCAGGGTCGGTTGACATATTTACTGGTTTCCTACCGTTACAGGCTTTATCTTGTTACGAATGATTTATTGTAACAACTTTATCTGAAATTGCTCGATTTATTTTTTTGTACAGATATAAAATTAATGTTCCCTTCATAAATATTTTAAAAGTTTTTTTTAATTATTTAAAAAAAAAGGAAATTAAAGTAAAATAAAAAAACAAACAATGCCGCATGGTAGAAATTGTAGCTGTGAAAAAGTTTTTTTTTATGATCAAATCATTTGGCATACTATTTTTCTTGTAAGTATAATAAATTATGAAATTTTGAAGAAAAAAAAGCAACAAAAGTTGTAGAATTAGGACAATAGCAAAAGACTGGTACTTTTCTTTACAGTTTCTAAATAAGAGAGTTGTAATTAGAAAATTTTAAGAATAGAATTTAAAAAAAAAAATATTTTTGAGCATTTTAAGGTCTTTAATTTGTAAGCATTAACATTTACATTTTTTTCCGATAAATTTAAGTAATTCCATAAATTTATGAACTGATGTTACGTGTAAGTCAGTATTTTCAAAAACCAATCTAAAGATATTTTGATATTTTTCTCTAGTTTAGATAAAATAGATTTTTCTATGAAATTCTAATATAAGAGTTTTGTTCTTTTTGTTTTACTGTTCTGGTGCAAAACATAAAGGTACATGTAATAACAAAACTTGACTATTAGTTTTCTTACATTTTTCTTATGTTTTCTTTTATAACTATGTTACAGGCACTTTACGGTTTTCTGTTTGTGGTGACATGTGACAGTGAGGTCTTCTACGCGTCACGGACAGTCGAACAGTACCTCGGGTTTCATCAGGTAAACATAATGCAGTTTTTCTTATTGTTTTTTTTTATAATTGTTTTTTGGAGTTTTTTTTTGGATGGGGGGAGGTTTTGGGTTTTTTTTGTAAAATTAAAACTTTACCCTGCCGGAACTGAAAATGATTAGCTATTTCCACCAAGTAAGTGTTGTAACGAGAGTGGTGGCCTAGACTAAGTGGTTAAGGTGCCTGCCTCAGAACCCAAGAATCATTGACACATCAACCATGTTTACTCATTCAAGAAATTCAGGACTTGATATTTCTTCAAATATCACCCTACAATCTTTGTTCGAAATCAAGCTTTAATAAATAAATTATTGTTTAAACTAAAGTATTCAATGGAGAGTGTCTACATGGAGTCTGAAACTTATCTTTTTATGTGCACTGCACTATTATCATAAAAATTTAAAATCATGAAAACTGTATTAACGCTACGTAATTTCTTGTTTTGATTCAAATTCAGACAACTTTATGAATATCAGTTGATATAAAGACTGTGCTTGATTGAAAATAATTGAAAATGCAGATACTCTGTAAATTGCATTAATTTCATACTGTATCATGTACTAACTATTCTTTAAGAGGCATTATTGCGCACATCATCGAAAACGAATTTAATTTCAATAGAAATCGAAAAAGTCTTAAAATTTCAATTCTGTACACCCTAATATTAACTGTATCCCACAGTTCATTTAAGGCATAGCTGAACCATTTAACCTTTGGCAGACTTAATGTTAAAATTTCTATTAATCTTAAAAGCTATGGATTTTGGAAGATAGAATTTCATGTAAAAAGGCCGAAAACTGTTATTATCAATGGCAACATTCAATTTTCCTTTTACTCCAGCCATTTTACAGCAGTTTCATATGCTCCAATTATTGGTTATAAGTTAGAGGAACCCCTCAATGATAGTGGATATGGTAATAATATCACTAACTGAAGACAAAATCGTCCTCCTTTATTGAAGAGTTAAGTTGATGGAGACGCGCTTAATGGTTTTAAATTCGAAATAAATTCACTTTTATTGAAAGAATATTGATACTGTTTGAGGTTTTGGAGACATGAACCATATTATTACACCCAAAAACCTGTAGGATTTTTTTTTTTGCGATCAAAAAGTATGGTTAAAATATATTGAATTAGAAATAGAATTTATAAATCGTTGAAGACATAGCTAATTTTCATAGAAAAGTTAGTAGGAATGCATCTTTCTGAAAATTTGAAAATTATTCCTTCAAGAAAACGTACTTCTGCGGGAATATTTGTAACTTTATAGTCGTGCATCATTTATGTAATGTACAAAAAACAAAATGAAAAGTAATTACACTCATGCAATGCGCTGATCAGTATTTCAGAATTTCGTAAATCTTGACATTATATCTGAACAAGTAGAATTATTTCGGCATTTTTGATTTCAAAAGGAAAAACAGAAAAACGTAAAGTTTGCACAAAATGGGAAAGGGGTAAAAAAATATTAACAGTAAATTAATTCTTGACAGGCTATTGAAGGAAAGGAAATGGGCCAAATGTCTTTTGAAAAACAAAAAATGTTGTTTAGTTGTTTTGCTCATTTTCTTTGTTTGTTAGAAAATGATAAATTGTGCTGGCATGTTTGATTAGAAGTCCTGTAGTTCAATGTTTTAGAATTACTTCAATGTTCGTATGGAGTTTGCAAAACAAATGAGGACAGTTTTTTGATTGGTTGTTGGTATGAATATTTAAACTGAAAAAATCCATTTAGAATTCTTTAGTGGCTGCCATTTTTTTAGGAGGTAAGAGGATACTGTATAGTGTGTTTACTTGTTCAAAATTGATGCATATAGTTGCCCATGCTGGCCTGACTTTTATAATAATACTGTAGGCTCTAGAAAAGTTCACCTTTACCTGAACTTGTATATAAATGGATTTGTCCTGCTTCTAATTTGGAACATCCCATTCAAAGTTTCAGGGATTTTAATATGAAAATACCAAAGTCGATATACACGGGCAGGTTACAGACTGTATGGAATTGCAGGCTGGCCTGAATCTATACTTGCGGCAAAGCCTAATCACTTTTGGCAGGTTCAAGTGGGTTTCAGGTTAAGAGACTCCTGTGAGGTTTTTTTGACATGAAGGGACCAGAAATATGTTTTCAAGATTTTTGTATAACTGTATGACTATGTCTGGACCAATAACTTGTGTGCAAAATTTCAGATCATTTGCTCACCCCGCTTCCCAGGGATAAGTAATTTTATTGCTCAAATTGGCCCCAAAATGAAAAGTGTTGCAACACTTTTCCCGCTATTCGGCTAAAAAAAACGCATAAATTGATTATTAATTGGTATCAAGTATATTTATGTATTGTATATTGCATAGTTTTCCAGATTGAGTGCACCAGTTGATTTATGAAAGAATTTCAAATTTTATGATTTTAGGCTATTAGACCTCAGTGGAGTTCCCTTAATATGGATAATTATAATAATTGCCATATTTTTCAGTCGGACATCATACATCAAAGTGTTATGGAACTGATTCATTCTGAAGACAGGGAAGAGTTTAAACGTCAGCTCACTTGGAACTCCATGTTACCGGCGGATAAATCCAACCTAACCCTACATGAAGTTATGATGCCAGGTAACTTTCATATTTGTAAAAACATGTTGAAAATACTAATATTGTAAGGTGTTGAACGGAATAGCCTCAGCCATTTGAATTATAATCATTGACAAGGACAATATAAAAGATACTGGCATTCAAATGCATTTATGATTAATTATTAATTGCAGATAATTTTTATCAAATCTGAGTGCTTGATTATGAACAGAATTAAGTTTCAAAAGGTTTAATTTTTCTTAAGTGTACAGCAGAGTGAAAGTTTTTGTAATATGCTTGAATGTGCTGCTGGAAATGTTCCAAGTTTTTAGCTAGTTTAAGAGATTTCAATATCAAAGCACTAAAATTTACCATCCAAAAGGTAAAATACTCAGGTCACACTGCACAAAGGTACAGAATATCCTGGCATTATACTTATGGCATAAACAATTAAGTCATTATTGCTGCAAGGGTTGAGCAAACTTTGCTGTTACATTGAAGATTCTATTGGATTTCATAAAAGATGATATAAAAGAAAATTTTGTCAGCATTTTACTTATTTTCTTACTAATAATAATGTTTTGTATTACAGAAAACTACCATTATCTACATAGGTCATTCACAGTCAGATTCCGTTGTCTCCTAGACAACACATCAGGATTCATTGTAAGTTTTTTTCAGCTTTTTTAAACACCTATATTTCTGTTAATGGACTCACCCTAATTTAAGTTGGAGACTGTTCATTGTTATTTTATAGGGGTTTTCTTTTTTATCCAAAAGTAAAAATTGAGCATCAGTATCTAATAGTTCAAGTCTTACCTCCCTGAATATCTAAAATGGACTTAAATGTCTATCTTTAAGCTAGACAAAACCATTGAAAAAAAAATTGTAATAAGTACTGACTGAATAGCAAGCAATTCATTTGCCAGCAGATGGTCACAAGGAAAGTATCATTTGCCAATAGTAGGCTAAGGGTTAAAGTCTGGTCAGACTGCGAGGATGTGCAGACTCGCGGCCCTTGTTCTACATTGCAGGCATTGTTTTTCAATGAGTGAACATCATACTTTTCCAAAACCCCTTGCCGGGCCTCAACCATATAAAAAAGTTAACTAAATTTTAGATAATTATATTTAGCAATGTATGCTTCATACATTTTTCTCCTCTTTATTAAGATCAAACAATTTTAACAACAGATTTGAAGAAAAACCCTAGTATATAAACAGAATAATGCACTTTTCAAAACAATATATGAAATTCACATTTCACTGTTTCATTTTTTTCACAGACACTAGAGATAAGTGGTTGGATAAGAGTGATGCATGGCCAGCCAAACAGAAGCGAGGACCCACAACTTGCCTTGTTTGCTACATGTTGCCCATTTGGCCCTCTGTCTCTAATGGACCTACCTTCAAGGGAGCTAACTTTTAAATCAAAACATAAAATGGACTTCTCTCCCCTGTCTATGGATAATAGGTAACTATTATGTAATTGATAAAAAGATATTCTTTGGTTTAACCGCCACTTCAGAACTTATGATTTTTGAAAAGTAATAGGATGTTAATGAATGTCTTACTTAGAAATAGTTACAAAATAATTTATTTTATGTTGAATCTTACAAATATATTTTTTCATCAGTAAAGTTGCTTTTTATTTGCATGTACTAAACAATTTCTTTATATAGTTGCTACAATATCATGGTTATTTCCGTCTCGAATGCAGTTTTAAAAGTAAGCAGATACCTTAATTGTAACTTCCCCTGACACACCTATTAACGGCCCGACTTTAAGGTTTGGACAAGGTCATGATCACTACAAAACCTCACTATAAACACTATATCTATTCGCGTATCCTGTGTTTCGTGACCAGACTCCATTTTTGATATCAAATATGAACCAGATTGTAATGTGAGTGATTGTCACTGAAATTAGATGTATATAGTCATGTAGTAGACCAATACTTGGATGATGCTACTGTTTGCTCTATGACATTTATTTACTTGTCAATCTACCAGTAAGAATCGGATATACCCAAAAGTGTCTTAAATCAAGCAAAAGAGACATAACACTTAAAGAGCTTCTCTGTTTTATTTGTGGATTGTAGCAAGCCTGAGCTATTGTCACACACAACATTTACCGTTTTGCACGATGGTTTAAGATTAAATACACTGTATCATGCGATTTGTTAATAATCGAGACCACCTTGGTGAAATAAAGGGACAGATTAGTTTTTGGCGTATTTTTTTTACTGAGATTATTATTAATGATTATGACACTCACTAAATTCTTATAATTTTATGAATGTAATGAAATTACAGTGCAAGATAGATGAATGGTCCAACATGAATTTTTTCTTGGCAATAAAAATTGCACTAATATTTTGAATTATGCAATAACTATTGTATTATAAATAACAAATTAAATAGTATTTGGAATAAGGCAACCAACTATGTATTATTAATGAGGCAATGAGTTATATATTCAGAATAAGGCAGTTGGTTCGGTTTGGTTTAAACATATTTATTCAAGCTTGATTGTGAAACAAGTTCTTGCAACTTATATTAATCACTTTTGAGTCTGCTTCCTGGAACCAACCAGTACTGGTGTCATATGAAGAAACATGGTCGTGACCAGAGTAGGGCTCAAACCCATGATCTCTGGGTTGAGAGGCAGACACCTGAACCACTAGGCAATTAATGAGTTAGAAGTAAGACAATAAATAATTTGTAAGGAATAATCTAATTTGTTTCATGTATAAGACAATATTCTAGTATACAGTGAATTAATTATATGCTAGAGAAAATCATTGTAAGGCAATTTGAATAAGTTAGGAATAAGGCAATTGAAAAGTTTTAGGAATAATCCAATTTAAAAATGTGTAATGAATAAGGAGACAATACTCTAGAATAGTGTGTTAGAGATAATAATTTTAAGGCAATTAAAATATTTTATGAATAAGACTAGGAATAAAGTGTTAGAATAAGACATTATAAATAAAGATATGAAAAAGAGAAATGCATTTAGAAAAATGCTTGGAATAAGTCAATTAAAATGTATAAGTGATAAGGCAATTAAAGATGTGCTAGGAATCATCAATCAATTATGTGTTAATAATTAAAAATAAGTTAGGAATAAGTCAATTAATCATGTGTTAATGATAAGGTAATTAAAAATATGCAAGGAATCATCAATTAATCATGTGTTGATAATTTAAGATATGCTAGGAATAAGTCAATCATGTATGACTGATAAGGTAAAAGTTATTAAAATTATGCTAGGAATAAGTCAATTAATCATGTGTTAATAATTTTAAGATATGCTAGGAATCATCAATTGATCATGTGTTTATAATTTAAGATGTGCTAGGAATAAGTCAATTAATCATGTGTTTATGATAAGACAATTAAAGATATGCTAGGAATGTCAGTCATGTATGAATGAAAAGGTAAAGGTAATTATTAAATAAAAATATGCAAGGAATTAGTCAATTAATAATTGTCTTAATGATAAGGCTATTAAAATATGCTAGGAATAAGTCAATAAATGATTTTAACAAATTTTTCACAAATCTGTGAAGTCCCTTTAACAGTTAATACATGTATATTTATAGTCCTTTAACTTTTTAACAAATATCTTCTTAAAGTATGATTTTGTTTGTTTTTTTTTTTGTTAAGATTTTTTTTTTTTTTATTTATTTATTTTTTTTAAATTTTGTTCGTAATCTGCAGGTTTAAAAGTATCATGACCTGTAATGTTCATTGACCAATTAAATTTTCACATGAAATTAGTTAAAAGTTAATTCACCTTATGACACTTGACATGGAGGTTAAAGATCAGACACTGATGCTATTTGTTATGCAAGTTGAAATAAACATCTTTAGAAAGAGAAAAAAAATCTTTGTTGTACCGATGCAGGTCTCCAGTGTCAGCTATTTTAAAGGTCTTTCGCTTCAAGTGCACTTAATTGGAATATAATTTGATAAATTAGTTTTTTCAGCAAAGAGGTTTTATAGAGTCGTGACCTTGGCACTTAAATGTGAGTTTTGGAAAAATAGAGCGTAAGGCTAACTGCAGTTTAGGGTTACATAATAATCGCACTATAAGAATGCGTGCAATTGTAGCTTGTAGGGGAAATGTACCTATTACATAAAAAATAGAATTTGTCATTGAAAACGTAATGTCATTTTATTGAAACTTGATCATAAAATTTGCCGTAGAAGTAGCGAAATGCCTTTGATGTAAGAATTTATGTTTTGGCTTGTTTAAATGCACAAATAAACTTTAAATTACGGAACTATTTAATTTTGCAATATCAAACATAATATGAAATATGAAGACAGAAAAGTGCAAAGTACCATCAAAAAAGAAAGGTTATGTCTTGTTTCACTTTTCCGTTACAAATTGTTATGAAAACAGTTTGTTTTGTAGGAGGCCAGTTTTCTTTAGCAAGAGGGTAGGGTACTTTATTATATGTTGAACACTTTTTTGTTTGCATATTTTAAGCAGTGACTCACTTTACATGGGATAAAATTTAAATTAAAATCTATATCCGATGAAACATGATTAAACTATCTCTGTGTTTATCCGTCATAGTTTATATACAGGAAAGTGACACCTTGAAAAGGTTGTCGCTGGAAATAGTGCAAGTTACACATACCCGTATTTATCTGAATTTTAATAATTTGTCAAAAGTATTAATAGCGATATAAAATAACACTATGCAAATTTCATTTCGGATATGTTCCTATATATTTTTCACAAATTTTGACGAACTAAATGGCGCCAAATGTAAATTCTAAACTATATTTTGATGTTAGATATGTATATTAGTGGGCTGAAAAAAATGTATCGTCATTTCTCAATTACAATGATGAGACGTTTAAATGTAATATAACCCCACTATAAGTTTGTACGGTTGTCATAAAGCACCCTATTATTACTGGTCGATACGTTTATTAGACCTTTTCTGGCTCGGAAATTATTTTCTACCCGAGTAAATTTTGAAAATTTTTATTTTTTTGAAATTGTAAATTGTACGGATTTGAGACACATCTGAGCTTGATTTAAATACAAAATTGGCGGTAGGAGAGGCATAAATACATCACAAAATGTCATTTTAATATCTTTCTGTAAGTTACGGCACTTATAGAAGAAATTTTGGTATATTATGATATATGATTACAGTTTTGCGGAAATCGTAGCATAATTTACGTCAGTGTCGGGCATAAGTCAAGTTGTTTTACTCCCACTAATTCTGTTTAATGAATATATAGAAATTCAAACCAGATTTCTTCAACTGGGAATTATATTAAGTATGACTTTTTTTTTTTCGTTTTTATTTCCATTCTGTTGAAAGTGAATCATTGGGTAATTTTAAACCTTCTTTTCTCCCAATGTGTATGATAATTATGCCCCCATTTCGAAGAAAAGGGGGTATATTGCTTTGCACTTGTCGGTCCGTCGGTCCGTCGGTCTGTCGGTCCGTCGGTCCGTAGACCAAATGGTTTCCGAGTGATAACTAAAGAACCCTTAGGCCTAGGAACTTCAAACTTGGTATGGTGATTGGTCATGACCAGTAGATGAACCCTATTGATTTTGGGGTCAAGGGGTCAAAGGTCAAGGTCACATTGACCTTGTAAGTAAAAACGGTTTCCGATCAATAACTAAAGAACCTTAAGGCCTAGGAACTTCAAACTTGTATGGTGATTGGTCATGATCAGTAGATGACCCCTATTGATTTTGGGGTCAAGGGGTCAAAGGTCAAGGTCACATTGACCTTGTAAGGAAAACGGTTTCCGATCAATAACTAAAGAACTTTAAGGCCTAGGAACTTCAACTTGGTATGGTGATTGGTCATGATCAGTAGATGACCCCTATTAATTTTGGGGTCAAGGTGTCAAAGGTCAAGGTCACATTGACCTTGTAAGCAAAAACGGTTTCCAATCAATAACTAAAAACTTTAAGGTCTAGGAACTTCAAACTTGGTATGGTGATTGTCATGATCAGTAGATAACCCCTATTGATTTTGGAGTCAAGGGGTCAAAGGTCAAGGTCACATTGACCTCTTGGGTAAAAACGGTTTCTGATCAATAAAAAAAGAACCCTTAGGCCTAGGAACTTCAAACTTGGTATGGTGATTGTTATGACCAGCAGATGACCCCTATAGATTTTGGGGTTAAGGGGTCAAAGGTCAAGGTCACATTGACCTTGTAGGTAAAAAACGGTTTCCGATCAATAACGAAAGAACCCTTAGGCCTAGGGACTTTCAAACTTGATATGGTGATTGGTTCATGATCAGTAGATGACCCCTATTGATTTTGGGGTCAAGGGTTCAAAGGTCAAGGTCACATTGACCTCTTAGGTAAAAAACGGTTTCCGATCAATAACTAAAGAACCCTTAGGCCTAGGAACTTCCAAACTTGTATGGTGATTGGTCATTGAGCAGCAGATGACCCCTATTGATATTGGGGGTTATGGGGTCAAAGGGCAAGGTCACATTGACCTTGTAGGTAAAAATGCTTTCCAATCAATAACTTAAGAACCCTTAGGCCTAGGAACTTCAAACTTGGTATGGTGATTGGTCATGAACCCAGCAGATGACCTATTGATTTTTGGGTCAAGGGGTCAAAGGTCAAGGTCACATGGACCTTGTAGGTAAAAACGGTTTCCGATCAATTAACTAAAAAGGCTTAGGCCTAGGAACTTCAAACTTTGTATGATGATTGGTCGTGACCAGCAGATGACCCCTATTGAGTTTTGGGTCAAGGGTCAAGGTCAAGGTCACATTGACCTTGTAAGTAAAACGGTTTTTCTGATCAATAATTTAAGAACGCTTAGACCTACGAACTTTCAAACTTGGTATGGTGATTTGTCATGACCAGCAGATTACCCCCTATTGATTTTGGGATCAAGGGGTCAAAGGTCAAGGTCACATTGACATTGTAAGTAAAAAACGGTTTCTGATCAATAACTAAAGAACGCTTCGGCTAGGAACTTCAATTTTGGCATGGTGATTGGTCATGAGCAGCAGATGACCCCTATTGATTTTGGGGTCAAAGGTCAAGGTCACATTGACCTTGTATGTTAAAACGGTTTCCGATCAATAACTAAAGAACCCTTAGGCCTAGGAACTTCAAACTTGTATGGTGATTGGTCAATGACCAGCAGATGACCTATTGATTTTGGGGTCAAGGGGTCAAAAGTCAAGGTCACATTGACCTTGTAGGTAAAAAACGGTTTCTGATCAATTAACTAAAAACGCTTAGGCCTAGGAACTTCAAACTTTGTATGATGATTGGTCGTGACCAGCAGATGACCCCTATTGAGTTTTGGGTCAAGGGGTCAAAGGTTAAGGTCATGACCAGTAGATACTTGATAACCCTTATTAATTGTTTGATCACTGGGTCAGAAGTCATGCATAATAACCTTATCACATGACTAATTGGCTGCTGATAGGGGGCATACATGTTTTACAAACATATCTTGTTATATACTGGGTCTCTTTATGCAAAACAATTTGTTCATTTTATTATTACATCATTTTTATAAAAACAATTTTTTCTGGGTATTTATAAAGAAAAAAAACAACAAAAAATCTGTGATTTGAAGTTTTAGATGTTAGGAATTTTTAGTAAAAGTATATTGTAACATAATCATTAATTTTTAGCTCACCTGTCACAAAGTGACAGGGTGAGCTTTTGTGATCGCTTTTCGTCCGGCGTCCGTCCGGCGTCCGTCCGTCGTCCGTCCGTAAACTTTAACTTTAAATGACATCTCCTCATAAACCACTAAGCCAATTTCATCCAAACTTCACAGGAATGTTCCTTTGGTGGTCACCTTTGAAAATTGTTCAAAGAATTTAATTCCATGCAGAACTCTGGTTGCCATGTCTACCAAAAGTAAAAACTTTAAAAAACTTCTTTTAAAGAACCCCAAGAGCTAGAGCTTAGATATTCAGCACGAAGCATCTAGTTAGTGTCTACCAAGTTTGTTCAAATAAAAGCCCTGGGGTCAAAATTGGCCCCGCCCCAGGGGGTCATTGATTTTCCCTATATGCATATAGTAAAAACTTTAAAAATTTTCTTTTAAAGAGCCCAAAAAGCAAGAGCTAAGATATTAAGCACGAAGCATCTTCTAGTGAGTGTCTACCAAGTTTGGTCAAATAAAAGCCCTTGGGTCAAAATTGGCTCTGCCCCAGGGGTCATTGATTTTCATATGCATGTAGTAAAAACTTTAAAAAAAAATTCTTTTAAAGAACCCAAAGAGCTAGAGCTAAGATATTTACCATGAAACATCTTCTAATGAGTGTCTACCAAGTTTGTTCAAATAAAAGCCCTGGAGTCAAAATTGACCCCGCCCCGGGGGACATTGATTTTCCTTATATGTGTATAGCAAAAACTTAAAAATCCTTTTTTAAAGAACCCGAATAGCTAGAGTTTAGATATTAAGCATGAAACATTTTCTAGTAAGTGTCTACAAAGATTAAATAAATAATTAAATAAAAGCCCTTGGGTCAAAACTGCCCCTGCCCCAGGTGTGTCATTGTTTTTAACTATATGTGTAAAGAAAAAACTTGACCAGCTAGACCTTAGATATTTAGCATGAAACATCTTCTAATGGGTGTCTACCAAGTTTGTTCAAATAAAAGCCCTGGGGTTTAAACTGGCCCCGCTCCGGGGGCCTATATACAGGTGAGCGACTCACCCTGGCCCTCTTGTTCCTTTTGTTCATGTAAGTGACAATTGCACCCTAAAAAATGTTAAATGAAATTAAGACTACTCTGAAGTTGAAGCAGGGATAGATATACAGAAAAAAAATCTAGAAAAAAGTGATCATTACAACAAGATTACATAAAAATCACAGTCTTCTGATTTGATTGAGTCTGTACATGAGGGAGAAGCCTCAAGTTATAAGCTTGTATTATATAGGTTTGATTTATGTTTTTCAGGGGTCGCATGATGTTTGGTTATGGTGACCGGGAACTTGCCAGCAAGTCTGGTTACGATCTCATTCATCCAGACGATCTCAACTACTTTTCTGCGGCCCACGGTGAATGTAAGTACAAAGATGGCAAATTTAAAAAGAATAAAATATTGAGTATTTTGTTAATATGTTTACCCAGTATTTCTTTCATGCATTCTAACTATAAACATGTATATCTATGTGATGATGGTGAAAAAAGTTGTAATAAATACAATGTAGAAGTTAACTTTCTCTTTCAAAACAGTGTATATACATTTGGTAGATGTTATTTAAAAAAAGTTATAACTTACTTTGTTGACAAATGCTTGAGGGAGATATTGAGAAGATTGTTAATCAAATAATACACCCAAGGATATATAGTGTACCAAAGGTAACATTAGATATGCCCAAAGATACAGGATGCACCCAAAGATATATAGTGCACCAAAGGTTATAGACCTTTAAAAGTAAATCAAAGGATATAGAGTAAATCCAAAAAGATATAGAGTACATTCAAATATATAGAGTACAGCCAATGATATTGAGTACAGCCAAAGATATATAGAGTACATCCAAACATATATAGAGTAAATCCAATGATATAGAGTACAGCCAAAGATATGTAGACTAGAGTACATCCAAAGATATATAGAGTACATCCAAAGATATAGAGTACATCTAAAGATATATAATTCGGCCAAAGATATATAGAGTTCATCCAAAGAAATATAGAGTACATCCAAAGATAAAGAGTACAGCCAAAGATAAAGAGTACAGCCAAAGATATATAAAGTACATCCAAAGATCATCATAATATAGCAGACTCAGAAGGACAGTAATTAAACTTTAACAGTTTAAGAAACCCTCACTTTCTTTTGCATGGCCTAAGTTAAGAAAGGTTTTGATGCTAGAAAATGATTTATTCACTAGTTTCAGATCGCAATAAATTTTAAAGTTCTAAGTATGAATTATAAAATGATATCTTTGACTATTGTAGTGATAAAGACAGGCAGTGCTGGACTAATTGCCTACCGATGGTTTACGAAGGATTTCCAATGGGTGTGGCTCCAGTCAAGTTGTAAAGTCATCTACAAAAACAGTAAACCAGACTTTGTCATAGCTACACATCGACAGTTAACGTAAGTTTGAATACAATATCATTACATCATTACAATCGATACTTGTATAAATTATACAGTTAGTAAATATTCATAGCCAGGTCAAGGATTGAACCCACATAAATATTCACAGCCAAATCAGGGACTGAACCAGCAGCGAGGTCAGCGGAAAGCGAGGTCATGGATCAAACCAAGGCCTTCGGTATCATTTCAGTACTGTACCAACATGATTATAAGACTGTTATTGCATTTCCTTAGTGGGGGGTCGGAGGGGAGATTTGGTATATTACTTTTCTGAGAAAATTATTAAGTGTATCTAAATTGGAGGCGTCATCACTTTTAAAACAAAAAATTGTTTGTTACTCAGATGTTAATATTGCTTGAGAGTGGTTCATATACACTTTAAACTTTAACTTGAATGAAATGAAAAAGCCTTTCAATTATTGTTAGTTTTAAAGATGTTTCATTAATATATGTTATCATATGTTTATTAATGCTTTCCCTACTGAATTGATGGAATGGACTTGTCCTGCTTTACATTTGGAACAGTTCATTGTTTGTTTCAGAGGTTTCAGTATGAAAATATTAGAATTTATTAGCCAGACTGCATAGAGTTTTGCCAGACTGCACAGAAGTGCAAAGACTAGTCTGACGTACACTGGTTGCACAAGTTGTTATTTTTTTATATCCACAAGCATTCTAAGAGTTTATACGGTTATATTTTTTATGTATATTCAAACAGGATTTATAATATTTGTTTCTTGTATTTAAAATAGGGAGGATGAAGGTCAAGATTTATTTCACAAGCGAGGAAATGAGTTTAAGTTACCATACCCACTTCTTGACCTTGACATGTGCTCAGGGTTTGACTTTCCAAATGATGACCTTGTCTCAAAGATGAAGGGCAACAGGAACAAAAAGCCAAAAACACAAGTCAGAGATTTTCTTCAGAATAACAAAAAGCGGAAAAACGGAAAAGAAGGCGTTAACGGATTTTATGGGACCTATCCGGCGATAAATGGTTACGAGAATAGTGAATATAAACCAGAATTCTTGTACCATTATCCGAGTAATAATCTCGGAATAGAGTCAGATCTGTTGTATAATCGGCCTCACACGTATGGCTCTTTAGGGGGGTCAATGTATACGACCCCCGACCCTTATCGATTGGATATGGAGAAACATGGGTATACGAATGGATATTACCTTAGTGATACACATAGACAATATCAACACACTTTATCGTATCATAGCAACAGCTATGCTGACCTTGTATCGCAGGGTTCTAAATATGGATATGGTTTAGACACATACAGCCTAGATTTAGCGAAGAAAGTACACTATAATGAGGACTATAGTCGCATAGACAATGACTATAAAAAATATAGTTACGATTATCGGCCTGACTGGTTAACACAGAGACTTAATGGTGGCCTGGAACCAGTGGACCTGAGATCATCATCAATGTATGCTAGTTCACTGGAAACGGGAACCAGTTCTGCTCCATCAAATATATTTAAAGCTGATTCTTGCCAGAGTTATCTGCCCAACAAAGACTCTAAGGGAATTACCTCCCATGATGATATGAATTCAGTGAATGGAAATTTACAAACAATGAATCATAGCTCAGTGATTAAAAATATGTCTAGTCCGAGGCCATTGACTCAGAACCGTTGCTCTAGTGTTGAAAATTTGAACAGTCCAAATAACTACCATTCAGCACAGCAACAACAACAACAGCGAGGAAATGTTATTCACAATGGGTCGGCTTGGTCTCAGTGTGTTAAAACAGGACAATCTCTCAACCCAAGCCCTATAAGTAACCCTCATTCTGATAGTGGGAATAGCCCAAAACATGGGCTAGACATTGGTGCCCGAGATATAAATAGGAATCATTTAACTGACAAAACTGATGGAATTCACATAGGAGCTGAAAGTCCCATGTCAGGGGCAACACCGGCATCTGTCATACATTCATCAGTCTCATACAAAAATATACATGATAGGTAAGTTTAGAACTTCTTCCTAATTAGAGAGCTACCTTATTAAAAGAGAGAGTGATTTCTTTTTACGGTTAAACCTGTACCAAAGAATCACTCCCCTGTCTGAAAAAATGACCACTTGTACTGAAGGACAAATAACAAATATCTCATTTGCAAACATTCATAGATATTAATTTTAGTCAAGCCAACACTGTTGAGCCTGGTCAAATTGCACAGAAGTTCAGGCTGGCCTGGCTCTACACTAATGACTATACACTTGTAAAGTGGCTATTGAGATAAACTAAAGATTTCCTATAAAACACCTGATTTTAGACACCACATGTCAATAAGGACTTTCACTGTTATTCAACACTGATCTTTCCAGAAAGGTCCGATTTTAATAATCTTTAAATTCCATGGAAAGTTTAAAAAAGAATTATTGAATTAAAAAAAATGAATTAAAAAAAAATGAGTAAATGGTTCATGTTATTAAAATAGACAGATAAGAAATTGCCTAGGTGTGCATGGAATGCAAATTTCCTAAATATTTTCAGATAAAAATACAATAAAACAGGAAGGTTTTTACTCAATAATATTTTATTATCTTTATAACATGCAGTAGGATTTTTTTGTATTCAGTCTCAGAGCATTTTCAGATTATCAGTGCATTTCTGGAAAAACTATTATGTTTAAATTGTTGGTTTTATTTTGCCATTTAAAAAGAAAACATGCCAATAAAATTGAGTCAAATTGAGCTTTCCTGTTGGAAGTGTTCAGTATGAAAACTACTTTAAAACAATATTTTTTTTTATTATTTTCTAAGATTTCTTTGGTTCATTTCTTAATTGATAGATCCGTACACTGACCTTATATTTGAATAGTTTAAAGGACAAACATTGACATGTGCTCCTTTGTTAACAAATATGTTGTGTTGAAATTATTGTATCCAATAACCTGATAAGTAGACTTAGACAGGTCAGGGATCTATGCATTTTAAAACTGTGACATTCAAAAAGTAATGAAACCAGATTATCATTATTATTTTGCAACGTCTTTTTTTAGCATTCTATTTATTCCACTCTTTGCTAATCAATTTTCATGTTATTTTATATTGTTTATCAATTTACATGTTTATATTTTAGGTCATGTGACAAGCAGCCATTGGTTGGAGGAATTCCTGTTCCCGTCGTGAAATCTCCATGGATGCATCAGTTCCCAGCTTCACATAACACATATTCAGAGTTTAAAGATCCATGGACTGTCTCATCTAATGATATGTATGCCTACCAGCGTACTACATTAACACATGGACCAAAAATTGCCATTCCTTGATGACTGGAAGAATTGTTAAACAGTCAAATGATCAAAAATGTCATTCCATGAATTATCAAACAATTGAATGACCAAAATTGTCATTCCATGATTAAAGGGCCATGTCTTTTGTAGGAAACCCATGGACTAAAAATTGCCATTTCTTTTGATGAATGAAAGAATTATCAAACAATTGAATGACCAAAATTGTCATTCCATGATAATAGGGGCATGTCTGCTGTAGGATTGACCAAAAACTGCCATTCTTCAATTAGCAGACCAATGGACTAAAAAAGCTGTTAGCAGACCAATGGACCAAAAATTGCCATTTCTGAACAAAATATTTATTTACTGAAGGAACAATGCATCAAGATGAAAGGCAACTTGTTTGTCGGAAGAACCATTGGCCAAAATTGGAATTCCTAGATAAAAGTCAATTGCTTATCACTTATTAGAGAAATCATGGTACAAAAACCAAATTATACATGTAGAAACAATGGACCAAATATTACCATTCCATATTAATAAAAGAAGCATTTTTTAGATGACATACGGTAGTTGAAGAGTTATTTCTATTTAAGAAATGAATAAAAAGGCTTTGTTAAAAAAGTTTAAAGAAATGAGATATTTTTTGTGTATTCATCAGATGATAGCCAATAGCAAATGACAAATCTTGGTTAAAGAGGTATATCATTTAATACTGTATATATCTTCTTTATTTATTAATGTAAAGATACAAATGTGTTGCACCAAACATTTCACAATGAAGTTATGTCAGTTTTTGAGAAATTTGTTATGTATTGCTGCTGTTGTTCAGAGCAAGTTTGAAGTGGGAAGAGATTCGGAATGGTGCTGTTTTAGGGAAACTTGTAAATTATTTCATATTTAGGTTTGAACTTGACTCTCTGTAGATGATTTAGTGAAATCTTTTTACAGTTAATAAGGCTAAAACTTTAAATCAAGCATATAGCATATATAGGAGATTTATTTCTGTTAATAAAGCTGAATAAATTAATCCTTTTGCCTGGTTCAGGTCAATGATTTAACCCACGTGGCCAGTGCTGACCAAATTTAGCTGGCACATTCTGTTTCAAATCTAAAAGCAGGGCAAACTTATTTTACTAATTCTGCAGGATAATGATTATGAGTTTGTGAAAAAAATAACAAATTGTCACATCAGTGCAGCAACGAGTTAACTCCTATTAAATTTAAATCTGAGTTAACCTGTTATTGCACTAACATGACAAAATAATTAAATACATTTAAAAAGAGTTTGTACAGGCTAAAATACTATACTAGAAAATAGATATGTGTAGTTTAGGACATAGAATGTTATATATTTATTTTACATGAAAAGTATAATAATTTTGTTTTTTGTTATGTCTGCATTTTAAATCACGAAAATGTGTAAATGTGCAATATGGAATTGTAAATATGATTTTTTATGAGTTCCATTTTTAAATGTTTATCTAAATAAAGAAGAAAAAAATCGATTTTTTTCCTTTAACCTATTTCTTGTTTTTCTTGTTTCTACACAAAACTGTTGTGATAATTAGTCTGTTGTAAAATATTGAAGAAGAATATCACTTTGTACTTTTATGCTTATAAAAAAATCAGAAAGCCAGTCTAAGATAGGAATGTTTTCATTGGTCAATTTGAATATTGATTTAAAATTAAGCCAATCAGAAATGTTTATGGACTGGTTGCTAAAAATGGTATAAAATTTATCTTGTTCATTAAAGGAAAGATTTGTTTTCCTCAATAACATTTAAGGCAATGCTTGGTGGATTCAAAATACGGAATATTTAAATTCTTGTGGATTTATTTAGGAAAGACTTTTTTGGCTTCAGTGACATGAAAGATAATTCTCTGTAAATTTAACATACTGATGGCAAAATTTGGAGTTTGAGCCCTGTCTTTGGGTAATGATAATGAAAACATTTTTTTGTGAAAATCAGTAATTGTATCATTGTCAAAATAACTGCATCTTATTTATTTCATCAAACATTATACTCAATGCCATCAGGACAGTTTCACCTACTTAATGTCAGCATATTGAATTTCTGTTTTTAGAAATGTTAGTGAAAAGAATGTCTCAGACAAATTTGTTTGGTAAAAATTACAATTATTGTAACTACATCTAGTTTGGCATTTTTTTAGAATTTTTTTAGAGATTATTTATATATTCATATTTGTTTTTTATTTATCATTCCTTAATGACATCAAAGCAAATGCAGTATTCAAAGCAAATCTATAAATAACTTTATGTATATTACACAACTTCAGGATTTTAAACAAATTTGTTTACTAGTAAGAGTAAACTTACAGTGCTAAAAGCAACAAGAGTTGCATATGGCAATAGTGCAAAGCCAGGCCAGCTTGCAAATGTTTGCAATCTAACAAGGGTCTGTTCTAAAGGTCACAGGTTTTAATTGATATACTTATCAATATTTGAAATCCCTTGCAGTTTCTAATTTAAAGTACAGCAAGTCCATTATGTATAGACCATTTTACAACTGATGAATACTGATAAAGTCTATTATTTCCTTATTGCCTTTTGCCCTACGCAGAATTCGCATGCGCGAAATACTACTTCCGTTTCTATGGAAATATCGTAGTGTAAAAAGGTATAGTTTGCAGGGCATGATATTTCTATATTTCTTCATTTTTGGAACTAGCCTCTTATGTCTCCTGTAGACAATAATAGTTAGGAGTTTGATATTTAACTGAAGCTAAACATTTCATACATGAGATAGTCTCGGTACATTAAAAATGGTCGTTTTTATAGCTTAACTAATAATTATGCAGTTTTACATTGTACAAAATCATAGGATTTGTTTAACTTCTGTATAATTATAAAGAAACAAAATAATTTTAGGGTATTAAATAAAGAAAGGAACCATTGCATTTAATGTTTATGTTTTTACTTTGTTGGTGTTGTTGTTGATTCCGTTCTTAAAGGAAAACTAAAAAAGTCTTCATAAAAAAATAACCTCTTATCAAAAATATGGGAGAGGAAAGAAAAAGAAACAAGTTTAAGAGCACTTAATTTTATTGACGTTAGATCAACTTTCCTCAAGTTTGATTGAATATTCAGAAGTTCATTTTCCCAACAAAATAAGCTGTTATAGTTTTATATTTTATTTCTTATATGATTTCAAAAAAAAAGTTGTTATGAAATTTTCAGAAACCTTGAAATAAATGTGTTTCCAGGGTAACCTGATCTAAATTTAAACAAGATTTGCTTTCTAATGTATAAAACTTGCAACTTTACCATCTAGAAGTGAGTTAATTGTTGTGACGTAACTAGGTCAACGTATTGAATTAAAATTTTCCCTTAGAAATTAGATAACATCAATTTGAATTTAGCGCATCCAAAAAATTAAGTCAATTGTTGTCATTTTTTAAAATAATTCGGAGTATAAATGGAATAAGTTAACACAATATAAGGGAATTACAACCTAAAGAAAATTCACTGCTGTGAACATCAGTGTTTTTTGTTGTTTTGATAAATAATTTCAATAAAGTGTCATGAACTTAATGTCATAATAACAATGTGTAGATGTGGCAGACTAGAATTTTTACGTTGAGATATTGTTCTACATAAAGTTTTTCGTGTAATGGCAATATCTCCCCTGTAGAAGCAAGATCTAGCTTTGGCACAAACAATAATTTTTTCACTGATATATGAGATTAAATGATTTGCGTGTAAAAAGCCCTGTAACGTTTTTGGTTCAAGCAGTGCTATTAAAGTGAAGAATAACGCAAACATGCGCATTTGTGAATTGTCCCATCGGCTCGTTGCTTTAAGCGGCCAATTTTTAGAATTTATAAATTACGGAAAACCTCATAAATTAACTGAACAATTCTTAATCATTTCAGTTATATAATTTTAAATGACGTGAAATCGGATTTAAAAAATAAACATTATGTTAACTTTTGTAATCCCTAAAACTTTGACTGGCATTAAATAAAACACAAGTTTTGACATTAGTTTTCCTTTTGTTAAATAAATGTTAAAAATGCTATTATAGTACAATGTAATTGCATTGACCCTGATTAACAACAACACTTGCAGTAGTATGCATTTAAATTTGCTATTGTGTACAATATTTTAAAACATGTGTCTATTCATATATTTTGTTATTTAACTGTCACTATGAATTTATTGTTATTGTATATTTTTGTCAAAGAATTCAAAATATACCATTTGTTTCTTATTTAAAATGATATTAAATTTCAAATGACAATAAGCGTCTGTTTTTATTGTTTTCCAACTTTGTTTTCTTCCATTCCAGCCAATTTCTAGTAATGTTTTTATTGTCTTCCAACTTTGTTTTCTGCCATTCCAGTTAAACTCTAGTAATGTTTTTATTGTCTTCCAACTTTGTTTTATGCCATTCCAGTCAAACTCTAGTAATGTTTTTATTGTTTTCCAAATTTGTTTGCGTCCATTCTAGTCAAACTTTGGTAAACAACTTTTGGTAAGTGGCAATGCGTTTTCGATTGGATTATACTTGTATTATAGTCGCCATCGGAACCAAATGGATGACTGTCCAGAAGACTTAGATTTTTAGGATTATGCAATGGATAACGAAATAATTCTATTCTAGGAAACAACATGTTCTCACACAGGTCTTCAGGGTTTAAGGTCTCATCCAAAAGACATTTTACATGTGAATTATCTTTTGTTGGAATAGCTGGGAATTCAACTGAATTTTTTTGTCAAACTAGAATGTTACCATTCGACCACTGTGACATAAAGCTTACACAGTTAGTTGAAGTTATTGGCGAAACACATGACAATAAACCGGATAACACTAATTAAGCCGTTCATCCTGATTTTGTAGAAATCACAATTTTGGTAAAGAAGTTGGTAGTTACTTATTAAAATCAGTCGAGATGCAAAGCAAAGACATACACTTGAGGTAAACTGAACACTGTTAAGCTGTCGCTGAATGAAATAGAACAAAATAAAAATCAAAAAAGTAGCTGTACTTTCACAAATCTTTATGTTTGCATACATTTTTACTCAAATTATTTAACCACAACATAGATATAATACTGTGGTTTTGCGCATTATTAAGGCAAAATTTCATTGTAAAAGAACGTGTTTGTCAAGTTTTTGTTCTTCTATTTTTCCATTTATTTTTCTATATATTTATTATATATATACAATGTGCATGTATATAAAACGCAGCGAGTATGGAAAATGAACTTTACTGACAATTTTGCAGGGATTGTAGTCTTCCAAAACATCTGCAACCAAATTCCTTATTTTTATTGTAATAAAGAAATCTAGATGCCATTGAGGCCTGTAAATGGGAAAAATAGAAGTCATTTTCTTGGTTCTAATCGCATTGTCTCTGAGCCGGTCTTAAGGCGACTTCCCACTCACCTTGTAACTGTGACGGTTTTGCTGCGCTGAGTAAACAGTTTCTCACGTAGTTGAGTGAAAAGGAAATGATATCTTAGATTTTGACACAATCATATTCCTATCGGTATCTTCATGAAGTTGAATTTAGATGAGTTTTAGAGATTGGTTTAATGGAAAAGTTAGTCTTGAAAGTTGCAGCGACATGCTCCAATGTTTCTGGAGTACTAAGCATGCAAAATTTACAGCTTGTAATTGTTTGGTATACAGGCAAATACAGTAGTATCTTGCAGAACGTTAAACATAGAGACCAAAAAGAAATGAAACAATGAACATATGACAAATTAATTACCGATTAAATTCCATTTTGGTGAATTTGTCAAAAGATGAAAACAACCATGTTTGTCTTTAAAAGCGCTCCAGTTAGAATTTGAACATGTTATATCTTTGTTCGGTTTTAAACTCCTAATATTTAACTATGTCGGTATTAACGTTTGATCTTGAGATGAGGGCTTTCGTGGATGAGACGTCACGGTCACAAAATAAGAAGCACTTGCCCCGTCGAAAGCTTCTTGTGTCGGTATTTCTACAAAGTTGCCCGCTGTAACTAAAAAAATATCCGGAGGGGCAACCGGGGTCTTTCTCCATCAGTAAACTGAAACACTGATCTTTTGCATTGTCGGTAATCTTTATAATCTATGTTCCATTCTCTTAATTCCATTTTTTTTGTAGTTATTCTTTTTGTTTTCCCGTTACTTGTGGAGCAACAGAATATCTGTACAAAAAACGAGAAAACAATTTGCAAAACAAATTAAATTTAAGGGGAAAAAGCCAGGTTGACAACGGTCAGGTATTTTTTTCTTTTTGCTTTTATGTTTACAATTCACAGATAATAAACTATACACTTATTACGATTCGTTCAAACGAAGTTTGACGGAAAAGGCCGAAATGTTGCTATTGCACTATTTACTACTTTCCAGAATGCCGAGACTTCGAATTTCTCATCATCTACTAGCTCATTGCCTGCAACATATGCCTTCAAGCAATCAGATACATCATCATACATTCAACACTTCTTTAATCGTTCTGATGTGAATGAAGTTTTTGTTTTCGCTCGAGTGCTGATTACTGTTTATTAGCTCTCTTCATTGCAATCCCATAAATAATTCAAAGGATGGATTCAAGCAGTACCGTATTTGTTATATTAATTCACGACATCATTTCAGTGTTGGATATAAACAGTACTACATTTGTTTATATTAATTCAAGACTGGATTCAAACAACTACCTATCAGGTAAGTTATTTTCGCGGCAATATTTCAAGGATGGGTCTAATCAGTACCGTACTGCTTTATATATCCGCGACACTGTCTTAAAAATACCGTATTTGTTACATTCATCAATCCGCGCTGAATCTAAATAGTGCCTATGTTATAATAATCCGCGACACTATATCATGGATTGATCCATGCTGTTTCGTACTTGATATTAAATTGAATGTACCCGAACCCGAGACAATAATTCATACATAATGTATTGTTTGTACAAAAAGGAAACATGCTATATACAAGCAGTTGCTTTTCTTTCTTTGGCACTTTAACGGAATCACATTTTCAAACTTCACAACAACAAAAAAAAACTGACAAGATATTTTTTGGTTTTATAAAAGCTAAAACCTGTAATGATATGTGAAATTTAATTGTTTCAGTAGGACCGAGTAGCTTTATAGGGCAATTCATAGAATTGTTGATTAGAAGAGATTCTTGGTGGTCTTTGAGGCCTACAATAATTTTATAATTCTGAATAATGACCTGAATTGACTTTCAGGAAAACTCGCTATTATTCACCATTAATCACCTGAAATGTCATTTTCATAATGGTAATTACTGCTGCTCTAAATGGGGAGTGATCTACTGTTACAACAACGATGTCGCCAACTCCGTTTGATCATTTTTGTTTTTTTATCTAAGTATCAGTTTTTCTTCTTTCTAACCGGAAGTGGGAAGCCATTTTGAAAAATGGCAGTTCATGTTTGTTGCCTAGCGCCGGAAAGTGAGGACAGGTATTGTCAATCGTTTTATAATTTATGCTGTTTTACGTTCGCTAATTATACAGAATTTCCGCAACGTGGCTGTGATCTTACTGGAAAATATTGATGGAGTGTACCTGGTCGGCTGATTTCAAAGTAATGAACATCCGGTTATGAAAGCGTCCACATGTATCAGCATACTCTGCCCTGATCGGCCATGTCTAAAACAAGACAGTTTTTCGTTTAATGACTTTATTTAAAAGAACATTGTACAATTAAGAAATATTTTAAGAGCTTGGGTACTCCTACACATTTTAGTTGACACTAAACTCTTCTTTGATAATTGATGTATCTGCTAATTAGTCATAAAGAACACACGGTCTGGTTTTAATAGAGGAACTAAGCTTATGTTATTTTCATTTCTAACAAACCTGATACTAATCTACTTTTGCTCGGTAAAAAAAGATATAAAAGCAATGCCATCAAAGAAGCTACTGCATGTAAATATCGTCACACTATCTACTTTGCGGTGTTTCAAAATAAGGTTTCTTCTATAAAAGGTATACCTGCAATTCAGATTACAGTCAAAAATAAATAAATAAAGATATTAACCTTACAAAATCAGTTTTTTCTTCTTCATAAAATGAATAACTACAAACAGGAGAAAATTAAAAAAAACATTCATGTAAATAAATTCTTCTTCAATCTTTAAAAATATCTATAATAATATAATCTTTATAAAAGTGAACGAAACAGTTTAAGTGTAAATTTAGAACCACTAATATGTGTTGCTTATATCCGATATTATGATTTAAGTGAATTTGTATGGTAATCATCAATCATGTAACTAATTCTTGCAATATCTTTTTGGAAGCAATCTTGCATGCTTTATTTTGTAATTCACAAAAAATAATATACTATACACATAAGCGTACTCAATAGTATAATTCAATGGCTTTCCATTCTATTTAAAGCACCGTAAACCCATCACGAAAATCTCGTGTAGACGTTCTAATAAGCACGTGTAACCCGTCACCAGACGTGTTATAGACAATTATGCATCCATATAATTTTCTGGAATAGGTTTTGATGTCTCGGCAAAACTTAAGTCCAGACTTTTTCCAAATGGGACGAGTTCCAAAGAAGAGTGAATGGTGCGTGCGCAGCACTCGTAAATCACATGATCTTCGTAATAAAATGTACATAAAAGGCCATATCTGTCGTAAAAATGATCAAAATTCTGATAATAAAATACGTGCAGCGGCACGTACTCTTTGTAGTAGAAAAAGATGGGAATTAATAGCTAGATTAGACATATTAATTGCCAATAATCCAAGCTAATATCAGAGAGCACACTTTCGATACTACTTATATGTTTTATTTACATCATTTGAACTACATTTATGGTTTAAATTTACTATAGAAGTGATCAAAGTATATCATTTACTGGAAAATAAAAGTGAATGGTATATAGACGGCTATTATGAACAACATTCCTACCCAGTTTAAATCAATTGATATTTCATTTCAAGAAGCTCAAGGTATATCTTACTGTCACAAAAATTCTAATCAAATTTGATAACTGACATGTTCATACGATATTTTTATAAATGTATATTATATCAATGTCCAATGTTTTAAAAATCAGGAATAGGGGAGATCTTTTGGGGGCAATAAAAACAAGAATGAAAAGGTGAATATCGTAGACTCGGTTTGATTGAGTCTGTTCATGAGAAATAATGTAAAGTGCTGGGAAATAATGTAAAGTGCTAAGAAATAATGTAAAGTGCTAAGAAATAATGTAAAGTGCTAAGAAATAATGTAAAGTGCAACATCCACTTACACAGTAT